TCCGTCAGCAACTTCCTTTCTGACAATGCTCGAACGTAGGCACGTCAGCCGAACCATCTTGGTTCATCTTGACGTGCCTACGTTCGAGCATTGTCAGAAAGGAAGTTGCTGACGGATTTGCCCAGCTGGCCAAACTGGCATTCCTGTCGTTTGTTGAACCAGGCATGGATTTCCGCAGTGGGCTACAGCTAGACTTTCACTGTGGTGGTACTGGGTTCCTGTCCGCTGTGCCGACAATTCTCGTGTCCGATGAAGGCGCCATTCGGGATTGCTTTGCATCAAAGGGTGCTAGCGGGTCACTGATGTGCATTTTGCGCAGAACCACGGTGTCAAAAGCGTCCACCCTGGCTCGGTCGTCCGACAGCGTGATAGAACACACAGAACTAGACGTGCGCAAATTTGTGCTACACTCTGACGCTACACTGCGAGACAACCATAGGCATCTGGCGGCCCAATCTGTGGTGCTCAACAAGTCACAATTCAGTAGCCTGCAACAAAGACTGGGCATAAATTATTGCCCAAGAGGTCTTTTGGCGTTGGATACTGTTCAGGCTTGTGGTTTTAGCGTCACAGAAGGTTTATGCTATGACTGGATGCATTGCTACATGGTATCAGGCCTGTTCCACTTGGAAGTGACTCGTTGCTATTTACATGTCCCTTTGCAGTGATCGTCAAAAGGCCTCCTAGGTTTGTGTTGGGGATGCGGGGAGTTCCACTTGTAAGGCTTTTGCGTAAAGCAATCTGTGTTGTAAACCTCAACAGGTCAAAAACAGTACATATAGGCCATTACAAGAATCGGCAGGGTTTTTGCTCGCCAAAGCAGGGCATATAGTTGGTGCCCGCTGATTCTAGGTGACATTGCTTCTTGGGGCGCTAGCAGGGGCAGGTATTCGCCAAGAAGAAGTCCACCAATATGTCAGCACCTTTGTGTGGCCTAGTTGGATAGGAGGGCGTGCAGTCGATGCCACCAAAGTTTTGGAGAAAAAGGTCGACCTGTCCAAGGACAAGTTCAAAAGCAGTGCGTCTGAGGGTTTGTCGCTGTACCCGGTACTGCTGGAATTCTTGAGGTGTTTGGATCCGAGACGAGTCACTGAGAAAGTGGCAGCAGCACGCAAAGTGTTTCAGCATTTGTGTGCAGTGATGGATCTTCTACTGTTGGCTGCAAATGCAGGGAGAGTTGCTCCATGCAGCCTTCAGAATGCAATCACCCTGCATTTCATGGACTTTACTGAGGTGTACGGCAAGGACTTCTTGCCTCCAAAGGCTCATTTTGCCATGCATCTACCATGGTCGCTGGAAAAGCACGGTTTCTTGCCTTCTTGCTTTGTGCAAGAAAGGCGGCATAAGGAACTCAAGCGGTACGCTAATCAGACTGCGACTGGTGTCCCTGGGGTGGAGCGCTCGGTGTTGGAGGAAGTGACTCTGTCCCACACCATGGATTTGGAACAGTACAACGGGCATGGCGAGTTGGACCTCGTAAAGGGTAAGGAAGCGTCAGGTGAGTTGCATGCAGCCTTTTGCAAGGCCCATCAATTGTTGGTGGCACCAGGGTTGACCGTGGGAAGATCTGTAACCTTTGGTCTTGGAAAGCGGTCTGTTGCTGTTGGAGACGTGGTGGAGATCATGGACGGTACTTCATTAGGCAGGATTTGCCAGGTCAAGTGCTTCGTGAAGTTTGAGGCCACCGTGTTCAGCCTGGTGTCTGTTTGGGATGATGTGGATGTGAAAAGCTCTTCGTGTCGGCCCATGGAGAACCAGGTATGGGTTGAGGCTTCTCGCATCGCATGTTGTTGCATTCACCGTGCCACACCTGAAGGGTTGTGCACAGTGATCCCCATTAGGCGCTGAAAAATGGTGGCCGGCGCTTATTCCAAATCCAGTCAAAGCATCCAAAATGATCTTCAGATTGACAGGCAATTTTCTTGTTTGTGTTGTTCGATACCTCGCTACAAAGGTTCAGAATCAATGTAGGCTGGCACCACTTACTGACTCGCTTGCTCAGTGGTACGCGCTGCTGCGACAGGCTTGCCGCCAAAGATTCAACTCAGCAGGGCACCCAACATTCTCATTGTGGCAGGGCTATAAAGCCCGCCTTTGGCAGTGCAATAGTTTGCACGCCGTGGAGAGGAGGGTGCCACGGAGGGCGCACACCGTGGAGAGGAGGGTGTGGAGAGTGAGAGGGGCTGCGCAAATATGTTTTTTAAAAAATTGAATGTATGTATTTCACATTTATGTACATATATACCAAACGGGAGGCACCATGTTTGTACGGAGAGGAGGGTGCCACCCTGTGCAGCGGGGAGGGGCTGCACAGATAGTTGTTCTAGCAAAATCTAAAAATAAAACTCAATCACACTCATATGAAACGGGAGGCACCATTATTGCATGGAGAGGAGGGTGCCACCCTGTGCAGCGGGGAGGGGCT